CAAGGATGGACCGCAGTCTAGGTGGTTTCAGCGAGCCAGTTCCCGATGCTCTCTTACCAGTGGATCGGTGCCTTTCAGGCTTCAGTCCCGCTTCCCTTCTGGAGGAAATTCAGTTATCTCTCCAATTAGCTTGCTTTTATGAGCACTTTCCTTCTGTAGGGAATTCAGGGACGACAGAGAGGACGGATGGGTTTAATTTGCTGCCCTCTGATTTGGGGCAGGGAGCGTGACTCAGGGTAGAAGTCTGAAGAGGAGGCAGGCAGGCTGATTTAGCAAGTGAATGACGTGCCGATTTGTGCTTTTTGGACGACCGCTCCCCTATCAGTATTTGGGGGCGGGGAGGAGAAGATCTGGTGCTGGAGTCCAAAAATGCCCCTCTCTGCCCCTCTCTCTCTCCTGAAAAGTCCTCCGTGCCCTTTCCATGTCTTCAGTCTTAGTAGAGACAAGGGGACGTCAGAGGCTGCCTTACACCAGGTGTGGGTGGAGTGCGTGCCTCCAGGTGTTCGCGGACTGCACTTTCCAGCATCCTTTGCCACCTGATGGGGTGATGACCGCTGGACTTGGAATGGCAACTCAGCAGCATCTAGAGATCCATTGCAGCAGGAAAGCGGGTCTTTGAGACCATGGGGCCAAGGGCAAGCTTCTGATCCTAATGGGTCACCCGAAGAGCATCGGCAGCCACGAGGTTGAGCAGGAGCAGGCCATTTAGGGCCCTGCGGCTCACGTGTCTGGACAGACGCTCCCTGTTTCCCTCACCTGGGGCCTGAAAGATCCACAATACCTGGAACAGCTCGCTTTGATTTTGGGGGTTAGGTCTCCAGATGATCCTTGATGGATCCTTGGCTGTGTGAGAAAACCCATTAATGGCGCATCTGTGAATTGCATTGAGGTGTGTGGCTGGTTTCCCATGGTCCTGCAATTTTAGATGAGCCCTCTCTGTCTGCATCGCCCTCTCCGTCTGCATCGCCCTCTCCGTCTGCATTGTGCTTTGCACTTGTTCAATTGACAGCTCGGTGAGGTGGAGCGTTTTGCACACCAGGGAGCTGAGAGAGTGGGAGTGGCTTCCAAGGATGAGGCGGAGGTCAGGCGGCCCCTGAACTCGGCTCTCTCTGCCACAGGCGCGCTGATCCCTGCGGGGCAGCATTTCCCAGTGGGAGTGGTGCATCATCCTTCTGTTGTTTTAGGAAAGGGAGGGTTCACCCACCTTCCTTCCAGATGGCTGCTTCCTTCATGAGGCCAGTCGCAGAAGACGCTTCCTGACTGCCATCTGTCCGGCCAGCTGCGGCCAGCTCAAATAGCACTTTTTTGCCAATTGCACTGGGAGTCTTTTCCGTTCCCTTGTCAGGGAACAGCTGATGATTTTGCCCTTGCTAAAAAATCCTTGCAAAATCAGACAAAGTGCTTCTAGGAAAGCAAGCAGAAGGGCCGGCAGGTAGGAAGAACCTTCCTCTCTAAGCTGGGTACGCAGTTCTGCACTTGGCTTCAGAAAGATCAGGCGGCCTTTTGATTTCATCCCTCAAACTGCTGTGCCATTTCGTTCACCAGAGGGCAGGTTTGGTCCCCGGTCTCCACTTGCAAAGGGGAGCCAGTGAACCCTAAAATATGGACATGGAAATCAGCTGCGTTTGTGAAAGATGAGATCCACAGTGAGACCTCCGTGGGAGTCGTCGCTCCCATCCTGTCTCTTCTCCGCTCTTCTCCTGACCGCCTGCTCCTTTGCCTTTCTTTCTCCTGTGCCCCCCCCCCCGAGGCCCGGAGGGTCTTTGTGGGGCTGGTTGGGCAACCCCAAACTCATCCCGTTGCTTCCTCTTCTCTCACGTTTGGGTCTTGCTCCTTTTCCCTCTCTTGCTGACGGCTCTTTCTCACGTACTGTTACCTCCCTTTGGAGGAGACGAGTCCTCTGTCGCTTTGTTTCTCTTGTGTGTGTGTGTGTGTGTGTAGTTTTAAGAAGCGTTTCTTTAGGGCTTTTGGGGTGCCGGGAAATACAAAGGAGGAACCTGAAAGAGTTTCCCACGTAGAATGAAAGGGCTGTGTGCCAAAAATACAGAAACAGGAGAGGCGCCGCTGAAAGAACCTGAAAGGAAAGACTACAGGAAAAGGGTCCCGTTGTGTCTCCCTTGTTCTTCCGTGTTCTGTGCCCTCTAAGAGGAGATTTCTGGAGAGACAACTCTTGCTCTCTTTGCACCCTTGTAACGTGTGAACTGGAAGGGGACAAGGAGGGCCCGGAGGCTTTAGCAATGGTGGGAGCAGCAGAGATTTGTCCCATGGCTGGGGTTTTTTTTGGGGGGGGAAGGGGTGTGCGAGCCCTTTTCTGGAGCAAATAGGGCTGGAGGCCTGTGCTTGTCTTATTCTCGTGATCGAGAACAAGGGAATCCAGCCTTTTTCTTCTTCGCTTCCGAGCGCATGTACTGTTTTCTGTCGACTTCAACAAGCGTTTCTGCATTTGCAAGAAGGACTGTGCACAAAGAGTGCACTTTGAACCAATCTTCTGACAGCTGGTGCTTTGTTTCATGGAGTTTTAAGGAGGAGAAGCCGGTGGGCGGGCGGAGCAGGCATCGTCTTCTGGAACGATCGATAAATCCTTCTATTGCCTCGAGTGTCCGAAGGCTTGAACTTTTCCGAAGGAAGGGGCGCAAGCTTTGGGCAGAGGCATTTTGCCCAGATCCCGATGGGAAGAAAGCTCCTTCTCTTTGTCTCATGGGGGAATGCAAGGAATCACACGGGGAGCCGAAGATTTCCTTGTCAAGGTTTCTCCTTGTGTTAATAGGGCCTGTGTCAATAAGGAATGAGACCTTCAGTGAGCATTCCTCATGCCTATCTGCCATTCATTCATTCATTCATTCATTCATTCATTCATTCATTCATTCATTTATGGCAATCTCTGGATTTCCAGCAACTGGTCTGTGTTTCTTTCTCGACCATCCCAGTTTTCCTCACCTCAACCAGTCTGGACAGAGGGGATGCTGATGACTGGTGGTGGTGGTGAGGCATCATCTTTTTCAGCCTGCTTGAAAGTCACCCGTTGACAGCCCCAAAACTCAGGAATCGAGCAGCTCTGCCATGTCTGTTTTCGACATGCCTCGTTTGCAAAAGCCAGAGAAGGCCGGCTGTCCTCCGAAGACCCTTCCTTGCCAGCTCAGGGAAGGATCCCTGGCCTCTCTCTCTCTCTCTCTGTGCCTGGGGCTTTGGGGAGCTGTTTCAAGAGAGCGAGAGGCCTCAAGGCCTCTTATGGCCCCCACAGTGGGATGATTGATCAGGGGACCCGTGTCTTGCAGTGGCATCTCATCACCCTACGACCCGCTTCCATTTTCCCCACCACGCATGCAGCTTGTATCTGACCTTGTGTTTTATGAGCAGACGGTTGCCTTTGATGGCAGGGAAGGAACAGCATTGGAGCCGTGTTAAGCTGGCACCCTTCAGAATGATCTCATGAGAGGGACTCGTAACCCGCAGGCAGTGTGACCGTTGGGTGGCTAGGGATGATGGGAGATGTATTCAGTCATATCTGGGGGACACCTGGTTGGGAAAGCTGAAACCTTCCTCAGCTCTTCCTCTCTCGTAAATTCCAAGTAGACCATCCTCCCTGTTCTGTCAAGCCTCATGGGTTATGTAGTGGAATTTGGTTCAGCAGGGTTTATTTAGAAGAGGAAGGTTGTGCTCATGGAGAGACTAGTCTCACGAATAAGCAACTGCAAGGAAGTTTTCCTTAGTTTGGGAGAACATCCACTAAGCAGGAGAATCAAAAAGAGAATGGTTACCATTTGGAGCAGGACCCTGGCCTCAAGGGACAGACGTTGCCCACGTAAGGTTGACAAAATATCCCCAGGTTCTGAAGCTTGCCACGGCTACCGTCCCCCACCTGCCTTCCCTCGTACTTACCTATGTCTCTCTCCCCACCCAGCGTATGTATCTCTTCCTTCTTTTTAACAAAACGGTTAAGAATGGTGACCATTGCAACCAATCATGGCTGAAATCCAGTAGTAAGTTGTGACTAGAGTAGGCCCATTGAATCAGTGGAACTTACAGAGGGGTTGTTGACTCACCCAATCTCCACTGGTTCAGTGGACCTCCTTCAGTTGCTGCCTATTCCTTATCTCAGCCGCTGTACTGGGTTCTTGCGGGATAACAACGCTGCTGCAGAACAGTGGGCTTTTAAATATATACATATATATCTTATTTTCAGCATACACTTGCTTCGTGATTTCTATGGGTTTTATGGTGCTGTTTTTATCCAATAGTTCGCCCATAGAGTTTCAGCCATAGGGTGTCTCCCAGGTGAAAGAATTAGAGAAAAGCAGAGTTGGGAAAATTTGCACCCAATATCCTGATAGCACCCAAATCTGCCTCCCAAATTTTTTGTTGGTTTGTTTGATTTTAATGCTGTTTAATTGGTTCAGAGTCTCCTTGTTCCCTTCAGGAGGCGAGGAAGACAATTTTGAGTGGACCTGGCATGGCTTCTCCCCATAATTTGAACAAACAAACAAACAAACAAACTTGTTTTGGTCCCTGATGTCAATGGACTCCTTCCTTCTTTCTTTTCTTTCCTTCTTTCCACCTGTAAAAAAGAAAAATATTGGGGGAGTGTGCTGGGCCGGGCGATGGGTCTGACGTGGGCCCGTGTGGACCTGGGGCCTCCGAGAGCGACCCCCTTTGGATGGACGGGAATGGCTTCCTTCCTGCTTGCTGTAAATCCTCTGGTTCTCCACCTCCGACGGAACGCACATTTCTATTCCCTTTGAGCCCAACGTGATGTCTCATGGTCCTTCCCCACTCGCGTGGCTGTCTAGGGATAGCGGGAGTCTGTCCCCCCCATGCATGCCTGCCTGGAAGGAAAACGCCTCCCTTTGGATGAGCTTCCAGAAATGAAGAAGAGCACGTGCTGCTAAAACTCGAGATCTTTCCCCCTTGGAAAGAGCTCTGCTAACAACAGCTCTGCTTGGCCTCACACCTGGTTTGACTCTCTCTCTCTCTCTCTCTCTCTCTCTCTCTCTCGGGTCTAGGTTACAGCATCAAGTGTGAGTACACGGCCCACAAGGAGGGGGTCTTGCACGAGGAGATGGTTCTTTGCAGCGAATCCAGTGCCGGCGCCTCCATCAAGGTTGTCGTCCAAGCCCGGGTGATGGGTAAGAGCCTTGCTTCCTCTGTTGGTGTTTCAGAGGCTGGGGAGGTCCTGGAAAGCCCCCACCCCACCCCGGAGAACGCTGCTAGCAGATGGAGGTGGCTGACGAGACGAGGAGCCATCGTGGGGGGAGACCCGCGGCTCGGGCCCAACCAGGTTTTTCTCCTTTATCCCTTCCTGTCCCTTCTCTTGGGTGGAGCGATCTTTTCCAGTTCCTCCTCCTGCGTCCCTCTTCTTCTAAAATGTGTATGCAGCGTTTGGAACCTTTTCGCCCCGTATTGGCCAAGGAGAGCCTATTTTGAAACCAGAGAGGACCACTTGCAGGGAGGGAGCGGGCGGGTTCAGCTGCCAGATTGTTCAGGGGTGCCCAGGGAGCCCTTGCGTCCTGGATGCTTTGCCTACCCCCTCCTCCAGGAAAGCCCCTTCGCTTTCTTGCCCCGAACGGTGCCCCTTAGTTGCCCCTTTGCTTCTTTGCTCCTGCCCCATTGGGTTTGGGCCACTTCCGTTGTAGGATTCTGCCCTGTCCCTTCTGTGCCGTTTCCAGGCACGTTTCAATCCCCTCGTCAGCCAGGCCCCACGCCACACACCTTGCAGCCACCCCGGGCCTCTGAGTCTCGCAGTTTGCGTCTGTGCCTGAATTAATATCCGGCTTTTGTGAAAGGTCTTTGGTAGCCAGGAAATTAAACCCGGGGGCCCGGACGCCTCAGGGAAGCATCTCTGGGGTTAATGAGCTGGAGCGAAAAGGCAACTGCGATAAGCAGGCCAAAGGCTGCCCTTGGAAGATCAAGGCCACGATTGGGAGAGAAGCCAGGGGTGTGGCAAAGGTGTGCAATCAAAGAATAAAGGAAATTGCAAAGCAGATTTCCTGGCTGGGGCCATTAATAAATGTCATAATCACAGCCTCCCAGGCGGCGGCAGCTCCTCCAACCAGCCCCCCCTCTGTCTGTCTGGAGGTAACAAACCCCATCGCCCCCTTTGACGGAAAGGCTAATGGCCACGTAGGCTGGGCTGGAAGGAGCTGATGCGAGACCCATCTGGAAGATGGCCATTATGGGGCAGGGGGGGAGTCTAAGAACCTAAGAGGAGCCCTGTGCTGGATCCGGCCAGGGGCTCCTCTTGTCCAGCTCCCTGGATCTCCCTGTGGCCCCCACCCGAGGCCTTGGGGAGCTCATGAGAGACGACATCCGAGGCCTTGGGGAGCTCATGAGAGACGATGAGAGACTTGTCTCCTGATCACCCTTCTTCCCCTGCACCTGGCCTTTGGAGGTCCATTCCTTCGAAGCTTGGAGACCATACCTCCCCATCATGGCTGGTCACCTGCGATGATGAATGTGGTGCTGCCGCCAGTTTCCGTTCTGACTACTGCACTTTAAAGAAGCAAATAAAACCATATCTTTTTAAAGACTCCTGTTATCGTGCTTGACCTCCCCCTGCTGTCCTGGCAGGACAAAGTTCCAAATAGAGTAGATAGTCCTAGAACGAGCTGGAATTTTTAGCATGTATACATTACTGAAACAGCAACGTCTACATTGGCTTGGGCACGTCGTGAGAATGGCTGATGGTCGGATTCCCAAAGATCTCCTGTATGGAGAATGAGTGCAGGGAAAGTACCCCAGAGGGAGACCGCAGCTGCGATACAAGGAGATCTGCAAGCGGGATCTGAAGGCCTTAGGAATGGACCTCAACAGATGGGAAACCTTGACCTCCGAGCATTCAGCCTGGAGGCAGGCAGGGCATCACGGCCTCTCCCAATTTGAAGAGACCCTTGTCCAGCAGGCCGAGGCAAAGAGGCAGTCCCAAAACTAGCAAAAGGATGGTCTGGACATGGAACAGACTGTATTTGTCTTCTGTGTGGAAGGGATGGTCATTCTCAAATTCGCCTTCTCAGTCACACTAGACGCTGTTCCAAGTCCTCCATACAGAGCACGTGATCATTGTCTCGAGACGGAAGGATGCCTAATCTGCCCCTGCTGTATCGGTTTAAACCTGTGTCCTTTGCCACTTTAATGGTTTTGAATGTACTTTGATTGTTACGGAAAGGCAGGGTTATATGACTTCATTAAGCTTTTACCTAAATGTTGGTTTATCTGTATTTCTTTTAAGAACTTTATAATCTGCCTTGAGCCCTATCTTAGTGAAAAGGCTGGGTATGTATCCTAATGCTAATGACAGCTCTCATATGCTCTTCTTGTCTTGCAGACCGCCACCACGGCACGCCAATGTTGCTGGAGGGTGTGAAATGCGTGGGTGCGGAACTGGAGTACGACTCGGAGCAAAGTGAATGGCAGGGTTTTGACTAGCGGAGGCGAAGCCCTCTGCGTGCTCGGCAAACCTCGGCGCCTTTCGAGGGTTTTATATACATATACAAATATATACATCTATTTTCCCGGTTAAGCTTGAAACTAAAAAAAAACAGAGAGAGAGAGAGAGAAAACCCTCCATCTCAAGTCTTCACTGGCTGCTGTATGCAGAGCGCGCTTGTTTTGTGGCGCCCGCGTGGCGCTCGTTCTTGTGGGGCTGGGTGCTACGCAAGCTTGATTCCTGCCCCCCCTCCCCGCTCGCTGCCCACAACGGCAAGAACCACAGAGTTTAAGGTGTTGTGGGACAAGGTCTAGCTTCCCATTATCTCATCAAGCTTGAGATGCAGCCTGTGTGATGGGCTTTATCGGCGACTACGACACAGGGGAGCATAATTATTCCTTGAGTTCAGTTGCGTGCTTTCCTCTGGTTTCATGCAGTTCGATTGTCTGCGTAAAGTTTTCGCTGCTGGTGTTTGTAAGGAAGATGAAATGATGCCGAGGCGAGGGTTTCTCTACCTTGGCTGTCGTCTTCCCTGTTGTTCGGAGTTTGACCGGCAAGGAAGAACTGCTCTGAAGTTTGTAAAGAAAGAAAGAAAAAGACATTCACATTTCAGCTCTCTTTTTTTGCAGAGCAGATCAGCCGTTAAGTTGCGAAGGTCTGGTCGCTGGAGGCCACTGCCTGCAAAGAGCCAGCCGTCCTTGATCAGGAAAGGCCGTTGAGCGTTAAAAGGCTGATCCAAGGCAAAGCAATCCGTATTGATCCACCTGCTCGTAAGAGCAAGCTATTGGGTTGTAATGTTGCTGTTAACCAGCTTTGGTGAAACCTGATGGCCTCTAGATGGGTTGGGATTACAAATCCCATCAACCCCAGCCAGCAGGGCCAGTGGCTGTTCCGGACGATGAGGAGGATAGAAGGTAGTCCTCTAACGTGCCCAGAGGCCACTGGGTTAGGGGAGGCTCTTCTAGATGGTGAGCTAGGATTAGCGTGTAGCCCCTGTCAATAGGTGGGTGATTATGGAGTCGTTTTTACATGGTCACTCGGTCCATGATGGGGGTGGGGGGGAGTTTCTTCTGTCTTCTGTCCCCCCTCCTCTGGCTTTCCCATCAGAACTGGAGTGTGCTCAGGGTTGAAGCTGCGGTTTTGCAAAAGTTCTCCCCGATCCGTGAGGATTGCGGTCTTCGCGGAAACGATTCTGGCAATCCTTCTTTGCCCCCAGGATGCTTCAACCTACAACGTTGCCTCCCCCCGTCCAAAACGACACCTTAGGGAAGCTTGGGAGGGGTTTTCCTGGGGAAGACGAAACCTCCGCTGCCTTCTAAGTGACGGGTGGGTGAGCTCTCGTGTTGCACGCCATACGGTGTCTTTAAAAATTCCCTTTGGGTTAGGAAATACAGTAGTTATTGCTGCTTTTCTTCTTGCTGCTGCCATTTAATGTAATTGTTATTATTTTTCTTTTAAAAAAAAAAAGCATTCCCATCGTTAAGACTTAGACCCTCAGTTCCTCAGTTGGCCGAAATCCGCAACATGCAGTCGGTCACTTTGCTCCATGGATTGACTTAATACCTGGCTTACCTACTTTTCAGAATAAGAGGAATGGCGGGCCCTTTATCACTTCGGGTCTAGCGGGGGTGTGTGTGAGAGTGAGAGAGAGAGAGAGAAAACTTTTATTTTCTACATGCTTATACACAATTCCCATGGAGAATGGGCCAGCATGGGTTATTAATCCTGGTTAATCCCCTTTTTTTAAAACTTTCTNACATGCTTACACACAATTCCCATGGAGAATGGCCCAGCATGGGTTATTAATCCTGGTTAATCTCCTTTTTTTAAAAACTTTCTGTTAAGTTTTGTTTTATTTTATGAGCAGGTACCTTTTAATGGGATACCCAGGGTGGTGTAGTGGATCGAGCGACGGATTACGACCATCAAATCTCCACTCAGCTATGGAAACTCACCAGCCAGCAGAGCTGATGGTGAAGGCTTCTGGGAGTTGCAGTCCAAAAACATCTGAGTAACAAAGGTTAAGAACCAGTGGTGTAGTGGATCGAGTGACGGATTACAACCATCAAATCTCCACTCAGCTGTGGAAACTCACTGTGTGTGTGTGTGTGTGTGTGCAACTGATAAAGCCCCATTAGGGTGATTAGAAGACAGCTTGTGACTTCACAACATGTCCTGACAACATGTTAACACACACACACACACACACGGGTGTTCCCCCGACTCTACGCAGTGGCCTTGCCGACCGTTTCGCCACCTCGTCGGCCCGTCCCAGGAGGCCAGGCCTCAAGTTACAAGCAGAGCCTGGAAAAGTTACTTTTGGGGACTACTGTTCCCAGAACGTTTCTGCTAGTCCTGCTGGGATTTGTCAGAACTGGGAGTCCAGCGAAAGGATGATGGTCTCTCTCTTGTGGATGGCTGCCAGCACGCTGGACTAAATTTTTCAGTCTTCAGAGGCCCTTGGGGCACCATGATGATGCCATGCCAGATGGACCAGTTGCTGGCATTGGGGTGGGGTGGCCGTTTGGAGGACTCAGAGCCGGGAGCGTGGCCTCTTCTCTTGCGCCACGGCAGAGCCGAGAGTCGCTTCCATGGAGTCCTAGAATCATGGATTGGGAAGGAGGGGGGGGCTCTGCAGTCCTCCGGGTCCAAACCCCTGCTCGAGGCAGGAACCCCCCCCAAATCCAGCCCCTTGAGATCTGCCCCCCCCAGGGGGGTACCTCAGTCCCTCCTTGATGTTGACCAAGGAGAAGATGGACATGTTAGTGCTGAAGAGTTTGATGCACAAAGCCTGAGGTTGCTCCCTCACCCCCATCACCCCCCCCGGAAGCCACCCTGAGGTCTCAAAGGCTGCCTGTTTTCTCTCTTTTAATTGCTCTTGTCTGTTGATTTTTTAAAAAAAAATACTCATGGAACACAGATCAGGAACGGGATCGACTTACGAATGAAACCAATGTTTTTATGTGCCTCTATATAACCACAGACCCATCTACAGAGAGATATATATGTACATATATGTTTATGTCTATCTTAAAAGAAGCTGTGTTTGGGTTTGTTTGTTTGTTTTTTTTTTTTTTTAAAGCAAATGAGGGAATCAATAAATTCCGGTTGGGGAAAAAAAAGGCTGTTCAGCTTTTCTGTGTCGATTTGGTGCGCCCGCCGGGCCGTTTGGGGAGCCCGCCTCTCCCCTTCTCACTTCCTACCCAACATGGCCTTTGGATTTGGGTTGGGGATTCTGGGAGTTGTAGTGCACAAAAGTAACTTCCTGGAGGGCAGGGATAAAGCTGCAGGGCCGATGGACGCCCATAATGTGTTCATGGCCTCTTGAGTTACAACCGTCCACCATCATATGAGCTCCTGTGCTGCCCCCTAGAGGCAGTTCTGAGCATCTGGAGGAAGCTTCTACTTACTGGTTGAGTCCTGTGGCTACCAGCCCTCTTTGCTCACTTTTGCTGTCTCTCTCTCTCTCTCTCTCTCTGGGTCATATGGGATTGGCCGGGCTAGTACAGGAGCCACCAGCAAGCCCCTCCTTGGGACTCTCTTCCTGGCCAGCAAAATCATTCATAGAACTTATCAAACGGGAAGGGACCCTCAAGGGTCATCTGGTCGGACCCTCTGCCGAAGCAGGGGATAAGCAGCTGAAGCATCCCTTTGCAGTGGCACCACCTGGCCTCCGGTTTGAAACCTCTCACAAAGGAGATTCCACCTTCTGAGTCCACCTGTGTGCCTCCCCCCCCCCCCCAATAAGCATATTATTATGGAGACCCAGGGGGGAATCGAGCACCGCTCCATAGCCAGAGCCCCAAGCCACTGTTCTAGGAATTTATGAAGACCCTTTCCCAGCAGACTCTGGGAAGAGAAATGCTATGGAAGAGCTCTGGAGTCAAGCGCTTAGGAGTTCATCTAGGCCAGTCTTGTCCACTCTGACCCCAACCAGAATCCTCCCTTCGCCCTGCTGGGAGAGGCCAAGGAAATGGCTCGGTGGCCACCCGTCCAATGACTAACCAGGCCTGGCCCAGCTTGGCATCCGAACATGGGCGAGACCAGACGTGTCCGCCGTGGTCAGTGGGGGCATGTTGTCCCCATGAGACAGCCTTCCCTACAAACACAGAGTTACGGGCCCCCTTTTAACAGGGAGGGCTCCATCATGGCTTGAGTTTTATCTGGACAGCCAGGCGGCTTCTGCGGGTACAGCATACTCTGGGAAGAGAAATGCTATGGAAGAGCGGAACGGGCTCCTTTGGAGTGTGGTGGGCTTCCTTTCATTGGGGGGTCACCGAACAGAGTGACCTTGGGCATCCCTTCCACCTCTGTTAAGAGCTGGTTGGCCTTCAACATGGTGGCTTGGCTGGGTCTAATCCTTCCTCTGCCAGGAAAGGAAGTCAAGCAGTTCTACATTTTGTTTTATTTTTATTTTATTTTTTAATGGATAGCATATTGGCTAAAAAAAAAAGCATTACAAAGTCCACTCACCTGGCTGTAATTACCTTCCACGTATCATGTTAACAATGTGCAGAAAGAGCTGACACAAAATATAGAAAAATAAAGATTTGGAATTCCAGAAATCTATATACAGACAGGGAGAGAACAGGGAAGAAGGGCACAGAAGACTGATTTGCAGAATCAAATCACGGTGTGGATATAGAGACCAAAACACAGTTTGGTGGGAGGAAGAGGGGGGGTCATAAAGAACGTGTTAACTGAGATTTCATGGGCAAGAGGGAGCAGCGGTGGACCACTTTTCTGGTTGGTTGGTTGGTTGGTTGGGTGAGCGATCCCTCTAAAAGGCAGTTTAATCCCAACAAGACTGGTGGTGGCGGCCCACCGATTCAGGGCCATATAGGCCAGGGGGAAAGGACCCTGCCTTTGCACCTCGTCAGAAGAAGCTGGGAAACACCATCGCCTGCTCCACAAAACGTGGCCCCAGGTGGGAGCACGGAGTGAACAGGTGAAACGCAAGCCATGGCCTTGGAGAATGACATGGCTCTCGGTGGCCGAGACAAGAGTCCCTGCGCCGATCTGGGTGTGCCCCCCATGGGCATCTTCCTGGCCCCTGGGTTCTCTTCCATGCCTTCTCTTGGCCAAGGGAATAGGATGTACCATTGGGGCTAAAGCCAACAGAAAATTAAGCCTCTCTTGGGATGCAAGACTCAGTTTCTTGGCCTAAGCTCTGGAGCTGTGCCTTAGGAATAAGGCTGGAAGGATGCGGGGCCCCTCCCGGAGAAAGGCAGGTGATGGGCGGTGGGGAGCAGATCTATTCCGCTACAGTCGCCTCACTCCACTGCCCTGTTCCAGGTGGCTCTTGGTCTGCAGTGAATTCCCATCCGTGCTCTAGAGACTAGGAAAACCAGGCTGGCCGGCCCTTGACTTGGTGGAAGAACCAGTGGCTTCAACTGGAAGGGTCCGCGTGGTCTCTGGAAGTCCCCTCCACTGATGGGTCAGAGTCCCTTAAGGACTCTCAGCCTTATAGCAATGGATGGCCCAAGGACCCCCACATCCCACCCCGGGAGCTGTTCCGGCAGCCTCCTGCACCTCCTTTTCCTCTCCTTGGCTCCATGCCTCTAGTGTGATTTGGCTGGCCAAGCCTGCTCCTTGTTCCTGATCTGCTTGGCTACTGCATGTGGACAGTAGCCCCATATTTGCCAGGAGAAGGTAGAGGGAAAGCATCTTGGAGCGTGAAGCAGGTTCTCTCTCTCTTTTTTGGCAGGAGAAGGTAGAGGGAAAGTGTCTTGGAGTGTGAAGCAGGTTCTCTCTCTATCTCTCTCTCTCTCGTTTTTCTTTTTTTTTCTTTTCCTTTTTTGTTTTTGGACTACAGTTCCAAGAATCCACCATGAGAGATATCCATGGGGAGTGGTAGTAAAAGAGTCATCCACATTTCCCCAACTGTTGCAAGCTTGCCTCTCTCTGGTTGAGCCCATTCCCGGTCTCAGTGTTGTGCTCATGGAAAGGCGGAGGGTGACTTCCGAGCAGCCAGCTGATCGAGTGGATCCCTTATTTGCAAGTAGATCCCAAGCAGGTGGGAGAGGGAATTCTGAGGAAGGGGACGACGGAGTTCTCCCGTCATTGTGGAGCATTTCCACAATGTGAATCCAAATTGGTGGCCTGCCACAGAGGCGGAGTCGTGCTGACTCCCAGACCAGCCAGACAGGCAACAAGATCCTAGGGTTGCCTCTTCGATGATCCAGACCCTTGTTGCTCTTTTGATCTGTGGATCATCGCTTTGAGGGCGCCGTTGCTCCTTTTCAGGGCCTGGAAACTACTTTAAAGTTCAAAAGGAACAGGGCTTCAAGAGCGGGAGTTGCTCTGAGGGACAAATGCACCCAACTCAGACGATGGCACCTCCCTGCTCCTTTTCAGAGGACTTGCCTCCCACAATTGATTCACGTCTGCATTCTGACATCAAGGCCTTTTGGGATGGTTCCCTCCCACCCCCACCCCCACCCCCATCCGG